AAAAAATCATTATTTCGACAGGTGTACAAGCCGGGGGTGAGGTACGTTGGTGTTTGTCGGCTTGTGCGTACGATTCATTCGTTTCAGCTTGGTTTTCATCGCTCTGCGCCGACTTTCCTGTTACGCGAGCATAGTACAAGCACTCGTCCAAGTGCTTGGTCCAATTTTCTTTTCGAGGAAATGGAACGGTTGATGTTGCATTAAAATGAGCTGCGTAAGAGTACTTGAATACAATCCACCACATCAATTTATTGCATTTCTCGTTGAGCCGGTAAACGTTCATGCCGGCAGGACCTGGTGGGCGTCCACGTTTGCGCCCGTCATCTTGCAGTCCAGGTATCAGCTCCATCAGGGTGGGAGTAGGTCGTCGACGGCGGCGCAGATGCGTGCGGAGAGGAACTTTTTGTTGTGAAGCAGTTGTTGTTGGTGTGAAGCAGTAGTTGTAGTTGTGAAGCAGTAGTTGTAGTTGTGAAGCAGGCTTGGGGCAGTTGAAGCAAGCTCAGATTGATTTTACGTCAACAATGCAAGAACCCTCTGTTAAAAAAGTTTTACCTCGTGTATAAAACGCTTTTAACGTGAAAATATAAATAAAATGTAAAAATGCCAACACTGCTACACGCGTCTCCCTCCACTTCCATTCTGGTCCTGGTCGGTGGGAGGGGGGATTTTTTTGGATATAAAAAGGAGTCGCTTAATTTAAATGTAAGCCACCTCCGGAGGCTTTGAAAATAAGCAGGTTACTGTGAAAAATGTGAGTGTAACCGGGAGGGAATTTTGAGCACGTTTTTGCAATGTTCGATCTCCCCCCCCCTACTAGAATGGTTTCGAGATGTAGAAAGTTAGCTATTGCTGCACCAAATGGCTCCTCATTTTCTTAATACATGGCGCGTACAATGCCGAGAGTGGTACCCAGGCAGTGATGACCATATTATTATATATTCAGCTACAATAATTTACGTTTACTAAAGTGCTGGTATTTGGCGATGTTTCTAGGGACATTGAGGTCATGGAGTATCTGTAAGATCAAGGTGCAGTCGACAAGTTTGGCGGCGCTTTGATGAAAGCAATACGTAAGGATGATGTTGAGGTCGGTCAAGCGGCTACTTGAACGCTTCCCACAGTCAGAAGAGTCACTGCATATGTTGTTGTGGACGAAGCTGCACGGCGTGGATATCCGAAGATGTTGCAGTATTTCCAGAACTTGGGGTCATCGGGGGTACGTGGGATTTTTTCGTATGCATTGCCAGCATCGGGAGATGGTCAATCTGGTGAGGGACCAGACGTTCATATTTCTAATGTGGTGGTAGAAGCTGTGGATCGGTACCGTAATTAACCAACACGTCTTGCTTCCGCACAATGTTGGCACCAACAGACCCATGGATAACACTGCTGTAAATGGAGAGCTTGAAGTAGTGCGATGGCTTCATTTAAATAGCTAGTATGGATGTATGACGGCAGCTATGGCCTGTGCTGCAGGCAATAAACATCCGGAAGTTATCAAGTGGTTACACTACAATCGCTCGAAAGGATGCAGCTCGATCGGGATGGACTTCGCTGCAGCTAACGACTTTCAAGCCATTTGGCAATGACTTCATCTCAATACATCAGCGGGTTGTACAAGCAATGCTATGGGTCTCACCGCATGTTCTGCGTCCCCGGTGTTCTCGACCGGGGACTCGAGGCCAATGGTAAATCGCAAAGTGAGTAATTTGAAATCTTAAAGAAATGCAACGGAGAATGAGCCGATACCTTACAGCCTAAGGACGTTCGCACAACGCCCACACGACGCCTCCACGTGTGAGATCTCACCTCCGTCGTGGGGGTGGATCATCCTTGTTGACATGAATCAGCTCCATCGCCGGAGGTGGAGCGCGTTTGTTGACATGCATTTCAGCCCTGATGCTCATCGTCTGGGAGTCTGTTCTGGCGACGCCAGAACATCGCAGCTAGTGGTCAT